TTGCTGACAACATTCTTTTGAAGCATTGAGGAGATTTTCTTTTGTATGGACTCTTCTGTTCATAGAATGTAAGAATGCTAATGTACACTGGTGAGAGTCCACCTTGTAGGCTCTCCATAGCTTCTCTGATCAGGAAGACAGGTGACTTGCCAGAGTTGTAAGCCCTTTGAGGGAAAGGGCCAAATTACAGTCCCATTTAACCACTCTGTCCACATTAGTATAGGCTTCTAATTATGATTATTAAAAACCCAGGTCAGCTACACCATTCTTGTATCTAAGTTTGCCAAAAGTCAAACCTAAATAAGTCTTGAGTAGACAATTTTGATTGTTTGACTCAGTCCTTGTGAATACTACCAAAAGCATATCATTAACTTAAGAGAATTCTATTGATTTAAATAGGTTTAGGCTGGTCTTTGACATTAGAAATTTTAATCTTACATATAACCTAGACCTTTCCCATGTTGGAAACATCCAATGATCTTCATTTAGGACTAAGCTTCCACATCCTTTTAATATTTCATCTCTTCTACTTATGAGTTCCCTTTTATTTCTTTCTTTAATATGACAGTAACATCTTATTGATTAAATGATAGTTGGATCTAAACTATATGCATAAAACATAATAAAGATTAGCTATGTACATATTGTTGACATGGCTTTGTAAATTCCCAGGCAAACCTCATAGAAAAGACAAGAGACTCAAAGATCTTTTTTATACTCTGTATGGTCCAAAGAGTGATCTACCATTCCTGTGCTTTTGGTGTTCTGTGAGTGTAGGTACCATATAGAAACAGACCAACAGGTAGATAGCAAACCATCATCAAATCAATGTTTCTAACATTCTTCAGAAATCAACTGAAGAAGGCCTGTTAGAACTGTGATGCTGGTGTTACTGAGGGTTTGCAGATGAAGTCCTTTCTGGGAATGAGTACCCCATTACCTGTGTTCTTCACAGACATCTTCCTGTTAGAGATTAAACAATAGGAACCTCTGTTGGAAATAAGTTTACTCTTAGCTCTTCCTTAAGGATACAGTGCCTTTACTCTTGGGCTGTTTCATTGCTCTCTCTTCCCTAAGTGCCTAGACTGACCAAGGACAAGAGGTTTAGGAGCATACTTTCAATCATGCTTGGATCTTAAGTAGGAAGGCCAAGTCCCACTTCCAGAGCCAGCTTCTCCGTGAGCTCAGACAGCATAGGATACTATACCAATACACTGTATACAGCAAAGGTATTTGTCCCCCTGTAAAATGCTTGCTTTTCTAAAGTATTAGAGAAAGAATACAGTGGTGTGTGATGGACAAATGGAGTCTGTTGATGACAGCCTGAATCGAAAATGGCTGTCCTCATAACCAGTATAGATTTCTAATGAGTCTTAAACATTTCTTGAGTCTTGCTTTGGGACTGGGGATGGACAAGAAATATTTTCTCCTTTTGAAGGAGAGGCTGAAAGAATATTAGTATTAAACAGTAACAAAAAGGAACATTTGGAATTATGAAGTTTTTGGTAGAGATATCATTTAGCATTTACATACCAATCCCAATTCCCACTCCTTCCCCTCCTCCATCCCCCACACTCTACCCCTTCCTCAGAGAGGGTAAGGCACTTTGCTTTGAGAAAGGTTCAAGGCCCTCTCAATTATATCTAGTCTGAGCAAGGTATCCATCCAAAGAGAACAGGTTCCCAAAAAGCCAGTACAAGCAGTAGGGATAAATCCTGGTGCCACTGCCAGTGGGCCTTCAGTCCACCCCAGCCATACAACTGTCACCCACATTCAAAGGGTTTGGTCCTATACTGGTTTCTTCCCAGTCAAGCTAAAGTTGGTGAGCTCCCATAGCTCACATAAACTGTTTCAGTGGGTGTGCCCATAATGGTCTTGACCTCTTTGCTCGTATTTTCACTCCTCCCACTCTTCAACTGAACTTTGGGAGCTCAGTCTAGTGCTCTGCTGTGGGACTCTTGTCTATTTCCATCAGTTACTGGATGAAGGTTCTATGTTGATATTCATCAGACTGACTACAGGGCAAGTAAAGATCATGCCCCCTCTCCTCTATTGCTTAGGGTCCTAGCTGGGGTCATCCTTGTAGAGTCCTGGAATTTATCTAGTGCCAGGTTTCTTGTTTGCCCGATGATGGCTCCCTCAATCAAAATATTCCAGTCCTTCCTCCATCTCAATTATCCTATTCCCTTAAGACCCACCCTCTCACCCTCCCCTTCTCCTTCTGCCCTCTTTGCCTCCCCCTCCCCCCTATTTTGTCAGGAAATCTTGTTTATTTCCCCTTCCCAGGGACATCTATATACATTTTTCTTAGGTGTGACGTGAAGGGCCTGCTTGTTGGGGTTTCTGTCCCGCCAGATATCCCACAGCTGGCAAGCCCCAAACAAAATCACGCAGATATCTCCATAAGTTATAAAACTGATTGGCAAATTAGCTGAAGCTTCTTGTTAACGTTTGTAGCTCATATTAACCCATTGTTCTTATCTCCTTAACCACATGGCTCTTTACCTTTCTCAGCCTGGCAGATTACATCTTGCTTCTTCTGTGGTCTGGGCAGGACTGGGAGAAATGGGCTTCCTCCTTCCCAGAATTCATCTGTTTCCATCTACTTCCTGTCTGATCCACCTATACTTCCTGCCTGGCCAATCAGCGTTTATTTAAAACATGATTGACAGAATACAGACAATTCTCCTGCACCACTAAGGGTTCACATTGTTAATTAGCTTCGTTAGAAATACCAATGGCAATGGGTTTTTGATCCTACTGTAGCTATTGGTTTCGTGGATGCTCACCTTACTAGACCTGGATGGAGGTGGGTGGTCCTTGATCTTCCCACAGGGCAGGGAACCCTGATTGCTCTTTGGGCTGACGTGGGAGGGGGACTTGATTGGGGGAGGGGGAGGGAAATGGGAGGCGGCAGTGGGGAAGAGACAGAAATCTTTAAGAAATAAGTAAATAAATAAATAAATAAATAAATAAATAAATAAAAGATCGCACACCCCCGCCCCCCCCCAAAAGAAATACCTTTAAACACGGAAACTACCTCAAGCCCGATGCTGAGGCACTACTACTCAGGGATACACATCTAGATTTTGTCTCTCAAAATAAAAACAAAACAAAGGTGTTCTATGAACTTTAAGTGCTTGCCCCCTTTTATGCCTTTATTCACCAAATCAATGCTATGGTGGAGTCAAAATGATATTCTAGCCAATTAGTTGACTAAAGTAAATCATACCACCAAGGCTAAAGTGAACTGTAGCTACATGTCGTAGCTTCTTTTCTTGCTCAAGATGAGGAAGAGTCAGGAATTCTCAAGATCTATACTAACACAAGAGAATACATAAAACACCAAGTTATTTTCCGTGCAGCTTACCTGAAAGGGAAGGACTGGCCTAAAGGTCTTAGAAAATTAGGCTGGGGCGGGGGGGGGGGGGGGGGGGGGGGGGACATATCATTTCCAAAGGATTTAGGAGAGGCCTAGACACTAATGGTACTTAAAGAGGAGGAGCCTGCAAAGACGACCCTTGGACAAAAATACTGATATAGGAAGGCATTAGGACTACCAACTGGTATCCTCAAGTTTGGAAAAAACAAATGTATGTTCCTGGGGTCCTTGCCAACTACTCAGTTCCCTTGGAGCCACATGCAAGCTTTCTCCTGAAATCACCATGCCCTTGCGGGAGGGGGGGTTCCTTTCTGGATTCCTCAGTCTTGTTAAATCAGCCAGTTGTTCCCAATGGAAATTTAATGCTAAAACACACTTCAGAGAAATTAATTTTTACAGAGACTCCAAGCTTGGGGCTGGAGGAATGGTTCAGTTTTATGCACTGCTCCTGTGGAGGGTGTGTCTGAATTGATTTAATAATGTACACATTATTGAAAATAACAAAACAGTAATAAATATAAACTTTCTTAATCTAAAAAAAAAAAAAAAACCGGAATCTCCACCCCTCCAATGCCTCTGCCTACATGTCTAGGCAACTGTGCACTTGGTTCTGGTCACGTTGTCACTAGACTACACTAGTGCATAAGGCCTCATGCTACTCATAGAGGAAAATATTGTAATGATTTGTGGAGTCTGGGATCAGTTCCCACAGCTTCAGCCTTTCAAGGAACTTCTAGAGACTTGCATGGAATAATGTATCTGAGGGGATTTGTTAAACTTGTACGCAGGATACCAGGATTGCTCCATAAGCTTCAAGGAGTTGACTCTGCTCCAGCCCTGCCAAGTTGAGAGAAAAAAAAAATCCCAAAAGAACCTTTTTTTCCTCAATCTTAAAAAGAGTGAGTTTATCTAAACATTTACCATTTGGTTTCCATTTGCTATCAATAGCAAATTAGGATATATTAGCAAATTAGATATATTAGTAAAGGCTAGAATTTTATCCCAGTACCAAAACTATGAAAAAAAAAAACGAACTGAGGCCTAAGGCACCCACTAATCTAGAACCATCTTTTCAAAGACTTAGTATACACACAACCAAGTCTTCTGATTTCTGCACAGCAGCCTTCTATCCCGAGGGCTTCTACAAAGTATCAGATTTTCTGGTGGTTCTGAGGGCAAACCTAGAGGTTCCGACCTAGGAAGGAAGCGGAAATGCTTAACCACAGGATTAGAGAAGAACAAATAATGTTTCTCATCCAGATTTACTTCCCAGTATTCTCCATATTCAGTCCTTTGGCACCCAGGAATTAGGCTGGCATTCTTCTTTTTTAAACTTAATTACATTGTATTTTATCTCTAAAAAGTTCTAATTTCTGGGCAGCTTCTGATATTGATGTAAAAATTGCAGCTCTCACCTTAAAGGGAATAAGATATCTTTTTATTTTTAATCTTGAGCCATTCTGAGTGGCCATGACCCAGTTTAATGGGACTTTTAAAATAGTTTAACAGAACAAAGTCAGTCATAATCAAGACTACTTTCAAATATGTTGGATGCATCAGAGAAGTGGGTTTGTTGGGTCCACAGGGGTCACACAAAAATGGGGACAGACCCACAAAGTCTAATAAACAAGAAGCAAACTTTATTCGAGAAACCAGATTCCAGGAAGAAAAAATAAAATAAAATAAAATAAAAAATCTCCTTAGGGCACAAAAGCTTATCAGCTAGCTGAGACCACAGCCAGAGATTTTAAGGCTGTAGCAGAGGGCTGTATTTTTAACTCCTTTTATAGCAAGCATTAGGCAATAACAAGAGAATTTTTACAATCTCAAGGTAAAACTCAAATACAAATTGCCCTTCTTTGCAATTTCCATTAACAGTTTTTCAGGCAAACTAGTGTTTGTACTTAATTTATTATCTTCCCTGGTATCCCTTGATAGTGTTTACCAAGGCTCTGTCTGCACCTCCCCTGACAAGGCCAGTTTCACATAGCATGGAAGGGTATGGGACAATATAAAACCAAAAAGTCAAAAAGTCACGTACATCATTTAAAAGTTAACTCAGCTCGCATCAATTTCTGGTCATAAGTGGCATCTGCGCCACCTGGAAACTGTGATCAGGCAAGGGGCTGAGGATTTAAAAAAAAAGAGACATTGGTCACTCTTGAAACAAGAATGCCATTGTATTGTATTCCAGGACAGTTTATATAGTGCTCTCCTTGACTAATAGCCATGCCCTAGCTCTCTGGATTTTTCAGCTGCAAGCCCACCAGAAACCACTCCCCTGACATCAGGAACTCATGATGGTCTTGTGCTCAGAATAGCTGTAGCATAGGAAAACAAGTTGCTTACTCAGGCAGGCAAGGGGTCATAGAAAGTTCAGGGTCTGAGGGTCTGCATTCCCCAACACTCAGTTTGTCAAAGCTGACCATCAATTTGTAGAGGGATGCTTCACTTTTGTGAACAGAGCAGCAGTTGTAAAGCAACCTGCTGTTACTTAATTACTTAAGCTGCTGACAGCCCGCTATCATTTCTAGGCTTACAGCTTTATATTTCTTTACTTTTACATTCTTATTTCTGGAATCTACATTTTTATATTCTTATTCGTGGACCCTCAGGTTCAAGATGGTGAGAGTTGGACTACAAAGGGTCCATTCAAAAGTCTACAAAGTGTCTGTTCAAAAATAGAAAAAGCACACTGTATCTTCCAAAAACATTTTTAAAAAGGATCGAATGGTTAAAAGTGGCAACTAAATTCTGTCACCCAGATGTGTGTGGCCTGAGAGCTTTCAATGCAATCCATTCTTATACAATCACTATTCATTAACATCTGTTTAGTTCTTAAAATGGATATGCATGTTACCCAGAAATACATTCAAACAATCTTCAACACTGATAGACAACATAAGGGCATACCTTTCCCCAAACTCAGGCATCTCCTTAACTGTGGACATATATTAACATATTTCTGTATTTTAGTTGAAAAGATAGTTGAAAGAGTGATAAAATATGGGGCTTGCTTGATTTTCATATGTGAAAATTAATATTATATTAATTGCTCATCTTCAAATTCCGAGTGAAATGTAGGATTGATTACCTATTCAATTTCTGTAAAAAAGAAAAAATTCATTTGGGATTTTAAGGCTCAAAGTGAATCTACACTCTCTGTCTCCCACACACCCTAGGGCCCCACCCCCACCCCATTCCTACACACACACCTACCTATGCCCTCCAAGCACTCCCTTCCTACACGAAAACACACCCTTCCACACCCACCATGACCATACCCCACAAGATTGCCATAAGTTTTTTTGAGACAGCGTTTCTCTTGTAGCTTGGGAGCCTGTACTGAAACTAGTTCTTATAGACCAGGCTGTCCTTGAACACACATAGATCTGTTTCCCTCTGCCTCCTGAGTGCTGGGATTAAAGGCAAAAAACCACCACCACCCAGCCTGCCTTAAATTCTTTGACAAAGTCTCACTCTCTAGAGCAGGAGCCATCTAGACTGGAGAGTTTGCATTTGTCTTGGAGTTTTTTCCCATTTCTCAAGTCCAAACTTGATAGAACACTCTCCCAGCCTGCCTTAAATTCTTTGACAAAGTCTCACTCTCTAGAGCAGGAGCCATCTAGACTGGAGAGTTTGCATTTGTCTTGGAGTTTTTTCCCATTTCTCAAGTCCAAACTTGATAGAACACTATCCCAGCCTGCCTTAAATTCTTTGACAAAGTCTCACTCTCTAGAGCAGGAGCCATCTAGACTGGAGAGTTTGCATTTGTCTTGGAGTTTTTTCCCATTTCTCAAGTCCAAACTTGATAGAACACTATCCCAGCCTGCCTTAAATTCTTTGACAAAGTCTCACTCTCTAGAGCAGGAGCCATCTAGACTGGAGAGTTTGCATTTGTCTTGGAGTTTTTTCCCATTTCTCAAGTCCAAACTTGATAGAACACTATCCCAGCCTGCCTTAAATTCTTTGACAAAGTCTCACTCTCTAGAGCAGGAGCCATCTAGACTGGAGAGTTTGCATTTGTCTTGGAGTTTTTTCCCATTTCTCAAGTCCAAACTTGATAGAACACTTTCAGTATCCCAACCCTGGGTTCAGGTCCCTTGATCTCCAGGTTCTATGAGGAGTTGCACCAGTTTCCAGGGTACACCTGCTTTCTGCTGTCTCCCAGTCTAGAACACAATGAGCTTCAGCTTGGCAGCCAGTCCTCTTCCTGGCTGGGGCTTATGGGAAAGAAACATTGGCTGTACTGTATCTGTTAAAACTGAAGCCTCTTAGGGGCAGTAGTGCTCTAGATAAGCTCAGTGGCGCCATCTTGCATCCTCTTCTCCCGCCCATTTTGTCTGAAAAAAAAAAAGAACAAAGAAAGATAAATGCCTTAGTGAACTAGTTTACAAGGCCACCATTTTACTCTTGATTTTCCTAATCCAAGCCAAAGATCGAAAACTACCTCTCATCATCTTTGGTCTACATAAATTCTCTCTGCATTGCATAATTACCTCGATGATATTTATCCAGGAAGTAAGGAAAAAGGAAAAGGAAAGCACTTGAGCCCTGGAAACATCTGTGAACAATCACAAATCTACTTGTTCCTTTATGTGTATTCAAGCACTGTTTTCCAGTGATCCTGTGCCTCCCAACACACACCTGGCCAGTCTGCAGTACTGAGGCTGGAATAATTCATCTAGGCCCTTTATTAATTTAAAGAAACAGTCTTACAATCAAGTTTCACCACTGAGTTACAGCACCAACCCTTGATTTATGTATATATTTATTCCCTTTTTGATACTGGGGATTGAGCCTAGTGCCTATAACAAAACAAGCAAGTACTCGACCACAGAGATACACACCCAGCCCCCCCCCTTTTTTTTTCGAGACAGGGTTTCTCTGTGGTTTTAGAGCCTGTCCTGGAACTAGCTCTGTAGACCAGGCTGGTCTCGAACTCACAGAGATCCGCCCGCCTCTGCCTCCCGAGTGCTGGGATTAAAGGCGTGCACCACCACCACCCGGCAGCCCTTTTTCTTTTGAAGCAGATATATATAAAAAGTAGATGGAATGAAAGACCCAGGCAAACATGGGGGCTTAGTATTTAATTTGACATAGGCTTTCCCTAAGGTAGTTCAGGTGAGCCTCAAATTACAAGAATTGAACTGTTTTAAGCTCCCAAAGTGCTGAGATAACATGTTTCTGCCACCATGTCAACATAAAATACACAGCTCCCCTCTTTTCCTTTTTCCACCAGACAGGGTTACTCTGTAGCTTTGGAGCCTGTCCTGGAACTAGCTCTTGTAGACCAGCCTGGCCTCGAATTCACAGGGATCGGCCTGCCTCTGCCACCCAAGTGCTGGGATTAGAGGTGTGACCACCACTGCCCAGCTCAGACACACAACTCCCATCTTAAAGGAAACAAGAGATAGTTTATTCTGGAGCCAATCTGAGTGACAATGGCCACCTGTAAACATAGATTGAGTTTGTTCCAGATTCTGTGTTCTAACATGGAAGCAGTTTCACAGGATTTTTATAGCTTTACAGAACAAAATCATAAGTCAAGGCAAGTATGAAATACATTAGTGGGTACACCAGAGAGGTGTGAACAAGAAGATGGGGAGAGCATCTTGGGCCTATAAGTTAATAGCTTCTAAGAGGTTTTATACTTCACACCTATATAAAGATTTGAGGAGACAGGGTTTACATGATGTGAAAAAGAATTTGTAAAAAAAAAAAATGTGTCTCTACTAAAGCTCATAAGAACTACAGTAATGTGAAGAGGCTGGAACGTTGAAGGCCCAGGGCCCAATAACAATTTACCTCAGACTTTGTGCCCAAAATAGCCATACATTGGCCATCTGTCTCTTAGATCTAACATCCAATAAATAACAAGCATAATCTGTCTTAGTTAGGGTTTCTACTGCTATGATGAAACATCATGACCAAAAAGCAAGTCGGAGAGGAAAGGGCTTCTTAGGCTTACACTCCAGCATTGCTGTCCATCACTAAAGGAAGTAAGGTCAGGAACCAGTGGGCAGGAGCTGATACAGAGGCCATGGAGAAGTGCTGCTTACTGGCTTGCTAAACCTGCTTTCTTATAGAACCATGGACCACCAGCCCAGAGATAGCACTATCCTCAATGGACTAGGCCCTCCCCCAGCTGATCACTCATTGAGAAAATGCCTTTCAGCTGGATCTGATGGAGGAATTTCGTCAACTGAGGATCCTGCTTCTGATTGACTCTACCTGTGTCAAGTTGGTAGAAAAAGCAAGCCAGTACACCAAACCAAACTAGTGTGCTTTTTTTCTTAACTGCTAAGCCACACCTGGAGCCTTTTTTCTCATGTACTTCTCTTAAATTCTTACCATAAAATTTGATATTTAGAGCTGTGCATGCAAGCACTTAACAGTGATTCCCACCATAATAGTGTTCAGGAAGGATGATCAAAGGTTGGCTGACCTGAAGGGACACGATTGACAACTAATTAAGGACACACATGACCTATGACAAGAAATAGTTAAACTACAAACCCCAATACTACAGAAAAGTCAGTGAATAAACACTATAGATTAAAACAAATTGAAATTTTAAAGCCCAACTCAAGTTGAAATTATAGGTGCATTTTATTACCCTATTATACATGAATGCAATACATGAGTTCGTGGTATAGATTATTAGATGCAGGCTACTCAGTGAGCAGAGTTCTTTAAATTATTAAGATTGGCAGGGTTCCAGAGAGAGAATATAAAAATTAACGAAATCAGAAATGAAAAGGGGGGTCATAACAACCGACATGGCATAAATCCAGAGAGATAATCATTAGGTCATATTTTGAAAACCTGTACTTCACAAAAATTGGAAAATTTAAAGGAAATGGACATCTTTCTGGATAAATACCAAGTACCATAATTAAATCAAGACCAGATAAATTAAAGAACTATTACTGCTAAAGAAATACAAACAGTCATTAACAGTCTCCCAACCAAAAAAACAAAACAAAACAAAAGTCAAGGACCAAATGGTTTCAGTGCAGAATTCTATAAGATTTTTCAAAGAAGAAATAATACCAATACTCCTCAAGTTGTTCTACAAAATAGAAACAGAAGGAACACTGCCCAACTTGTTATGACACTATAATTAACCTGATAAACAAACCATATAAAAATATTACTAAGAAAGAATTACAGACCAATAACACTGATGAACATTGATGCAAAAATGCTCAATAAAACACTAGCAAACAGAATCCAAGAACACATCAGATAAATCATCCACCATGATCAAGTTGGTGTCATCACAGAGATGCCTGTATGGTTCAACATACAAAAATCTGTCAGTGTAATTCACCATATAAACAACCTGAAAAATAAAAACCTCATTATCATCTCATTAGAAACTGAAAAAACCTTCAACAAAATACAACATACCTTCATGGAGAGAGCAGGGATACAAGAAACATACCTAAACATAATAAAGGCAATATACAGCAAGCTAACAGCCAACATCAAACTAAAAGGAAACTCATAGTGATCCCACTGAATTCAGGAACAAGACAAGGTTGTTCAATATATTTTGAGCTTTTGAGGTCGTAGATAGAGCAATAAGACAACAAAAGGAGATCGAGGGGATACAAATCAGAAAAGAAGTCAAACTCACACTATTCACAGTCGATAATGATAAGTGATCCCAAAAATTCTACCAAGGAACTTCTACAACTCATAAACAGCTTCAACAATGTAGCAGGATACAAGATTAACCAAAAACAACAACAACAACAAAAAACAATAGCCTACCTTTATACAGATGATAAAAGGACTGAGAAAGAAATCAGAAACATCACGCTTCACAATAGCCACAGATAACATAAAATACCTTGGGCTAACAATAACCAAACTAGAGAAAGACCACTATGACAAGAACTTTAAAACTTTGAAGAAAGAAATTGAAGAAATGGAAAGATCTAGCATGCTCTTGGGTAGATAGAATTAACATAGTAAAAAATCTTACCAAAAGCAATCTATAGATATAATGCAAAAGCTAGCAAAAGACTTAATAGACCTTGAAAGAACAGTACTCAGCTTCATATAGAAAAGCAAAAAGCCCAGGATAGTCAAAATAATCCTGTACGATAAAGAAACTTCTGGAGGCATCACAACCTGACTTCAAACTCTAGTTCAGAGCTACAAGGCTGAAAACAGCCTAGTATCAGCATAAACAGACAGGAGGACCAATGGGACTGAATAGAAGACCCGGGTATTAATCCACATATTAAACACTTAATTTTTGACAAAGAAGCAAAAAAAATGGAAAAAAGAAAGTATATTTAACAAATGGTGCTGGCAGAACTGGATATCAACATAGGAGGAGGTCAAAAGGAAGGGGAGAGGAAGGGAGGGGAGGTTTACTTTGTTTCTAAACCCGTCTTTATTGTGTGAAAAATTAAAATAAAATAAATATTGCATAACCATTAAGGACATCATTAAGTACTTAATGTGGTGGAAATGAACAGTTAAAACAAGGAAACAGGAATATTCTACATTACTCAAGAAAATGAGTTGGAAGACAATGACTACAGTTATGCCTTAGATTGATTTCACATGGAAAATGAGACAAAAATAAAATACTACTAAAACAGTTGCAACATAGGAAAACTAAGGGCAGTCAGAATTGAGGCCAAAACCAGGCCCTAGGGCATAAAAGCCAATTATTGGATCACCCAGGTAGAGCCATTGACCTGCATGGATTGACTTCATATTACTTTCCTTCTGAATCTCAGGGAAAATCTTTATTGTGTAAATATTACAAGAAAAACAGTACCAGAAAATTTTAATTATGCTAAGAAGCGGGAAAAGTGAAAAATAGTGAAATGCAAAACATCTTCCATAAAAGGAGAAAACCATTTCTACAGCCTTGGCTAAATTTGACCCTCAGTTTAGATAAATGCATAAAACAAGACAACCTTTTCAAACTACTCAGCTGGGCAAAACTCTAGGCAGCCATCTTTTCTGGGACCTGTGTCTCAGGGTGGCGTTTTTTTCAGACAAGAAGGGCGGGAGACCAGCGCGCACCAGGTCCTTCATGGAGCTCTACTGCCATCATCAGGATGGAGTTTCACAACTCACATCGCCACTAAGCTAAGCTTCCTTCCCATGATTCTTAGCCATGGCGGAAGATGGAGGTTACAGAGAACTATAACTGTACATGCCGACTCGAGTTCTGTAACTTCTCTCCAGGCCCAAACAGATAAATGGACTGCAGAGTTTTCTCACCAGAATCTGGAGAATGGGGCGCCTTCCAACCCTAGGGCACTAGCTAGTAGATTCCTATTGCAAGGGAGCAGTGCAAACCCTGCCC